CCCCTTGCTGCCAGCCCACCTGCTGCCAGCCCACCTGCTGTGAGCCCAGCTGCTGCCAGCCTTGCTGCCCCCAAACTTGCTATGAAGCTACTCAGACCACCTGCTGCAGCACCACCTGCCGCAAACCTACTTGTGTGACCACCTGCTGCCAGCCCACCTGCTGTGAGCCCAGCAGCTGTGGACAAACCTGCTGCCAGCCTACCTGTGTAACCAGCTGTTGCAGCCCTTCCTGCTGCCAGTCCACTTGCTGTGAGTCTAGCAGCTGCGGACAAAACTGCGGTGGGTCCAGCTGCTGCCAGCCAGCTAGCTGTGCACCCGTGTACTGCCACCGAACCTGGTACCACCCCACGTGCTGCTGCCTGCCTGGGTGCCTGGCCCAGAGCTGTGGATCCAGCTGCTGCCAGCCTCGCTGCCGCCCTGTCTGCTGTCAGACCACGTGCTGCCGCCCTAGCTGTGTGTCCAGCTGCTGCCAGCCCTCCTGCTGATCACCTCACCAAGAGCCATCCCCTGCATCCAACACAATCTGTCAACTGAGTTGCCGTTTTGGGGGCAAATTCACTTCTTGGGTTTGCCAATTACCAGCATGCTCTCCCAGAACTTCTGTTACTCATCTGCTTGTTTAAAGCTTGTGAATCAGCTTGTTGGAGTGCAGAGGACTTCCCCCAATTCTCTTCCTCTCGTGTAGGTGGATGATGAGCCAGCTTTGTGCATCCTTGATATGGAGTTTGTCTGGGCTTTGACTCTGAAGTCAGGTCCACGCAGTCCCTCTGAGTGACTAAGGAAAACTAATTCTTGTAACTGTTTCACAGGTTTCTGCAACTGATCAATATTATTCATAATCATATTTTCTTTATCAATGTACTCGTGGCTCTCACAGCTTTCTTGTTTCTTTTATGATCACTTTGAGTTGTCTTCCTGGATACAGGAGTCTTCCCTATGTGTCTCCCAATAAATTCCGTATCATAATTTATCCCATATTGTGTTTGATTTATTGCACAGCATTCCTGATATAGGAATTTTAACCTGCATTACACACTGTCTGCATTATCCATTCTGAGCATCATAGTAGCCCTCCGACCCAATTATCTCCATTTTCAGAAGAAAAGCATTTCATTGTGTAATGTCATGTAGCTAATCATAAACACTCATCCAGGCTGAGGTCTTTTCTTGCTCAAAGGCACCACATTTGCATCTCAAGGAAATAGATGTCTGCGCCTCCGGTGACTATGCCCTCAGCAAGCTGTGGTTGCTGTCCTTGCTTGTGTGGTCATCCCTGGGCATGGACACAGCATGAGATACTCCAGGGAAATTCTGCATTCAGATGTATTTCTCTCTGCCCTCTACCTTCATGATAACTATCCCTTGCCAAGTAATAGTAAGCTTTCTTGCCTGCTGAGCTACTGACACGAGGAGCCCTAAATGACCAGAGGACATTTGTAAAATTAGGTTGTATCCCCTGACAGAAATGTGACTTCCATAGGATTAAAACCTTCAACCCAGGAGAGTCTAAATCCATGGAGATGGGAAGCACAGATTCCTGAGTATGTCACTGAGAATTAAAGTGAAGGGTTTCATTCCCACATCCACCCATCACTTTCTGACGCTACGTATACTACCTTCTATGCACCTATATGGTGCCATCTCTATGTGAACCACATAGTGCCCACTGCATCAAGATACATACAACATGCAGAAGACAATCTATCAATCTCACAGGTTGTCACTTCAAAGTAGGTTTCTCTGCTGCACATGTAGAAGACATTCCAATTTTCCATGAGGTGAGCCATTTCTCTGCCATGTGATGTAGAGCAGAGCAAGTAGATCTCACGGTCATCTGACTGTTGTTTGACCTTGTTCACCATAGAGCGGGTCCCTTGGTCCAAACTCGTGATGATGATACTCTAAGTGCTGTAATAGCACTGAGACAAGGAAGACAAATCCATACACAAAACATGCAATCATAGTAAGGAAGAACTTGTGCCTTCTCTGTGTAGAGAGGGTCTCATGCAGAAAACTTGTCTTCGAGTGGGACGGTTCTGTGTCATGAGTGATATCACCAGTTAGGGCTCAACAACTTTTTTTGCTTCTGACCAAGAGCACATACAGCAGAGGTAACCATGGTGGGAGGGAGACTGAGCTGTGGGGTCCACACAACCCTCTGCCTCTGCCACCATGGCTACTCTGTTGATGCTCTCCTGTGTAGATACCAGTGCACCTGAGGACAGAGGTGGGATGAGTTCTCCCGCACTCATGTTGTCTGGTGCCTCCTAAGTGGTGGACAGTATCTGGTGAGCACCGACATGGGACACAAGGAGGAAATACTTTCTGCCCACACACCCATCTCCACCTAAGTGATTCTTCTCCAAATCTCCTTATCTTCCAATCTTGCTTCTCCAGGGCTCAGTCCAATCAGTCAATCTTCCATCACTTGCAAACAGCCAATGGATATCATTTCCTTTGACCCTTCTTTCTCCCACTCCACAAAAATGTGACCATGTGTACTGCTCACAGTTTTTAAAATTGGGATATTTCCTTTTTCTACTACCTTTTGAGACCAGAAACTGTTGGTCTGTTGTAGTAAACATTCTATCTGGCATAAAGTGCAGCAACATGGATGGACTTGGAAGGCATATGCTCAGTGAAATAATTCAAAGGTAAATACTGTATGATGTCACTTATGTAGTGTCTCTAAAATACAACAAACTAGTGATTAAAAGAAAAAAGAAGCAGATTCACAGACCTAGAGGACAAGTGAATGGTTATCAGTTGGGGAGTGGGGCAACATGGTGGTAGGAGAGAAAAAAGGATTATTATGAGGTTATATAAAATCATCTGTGTGAAACTTTCGAGAATTATAAAGCACCATAGAATTTAAAGGCTTTCACTCAATAAAAATAAATTAATTAAAAAACATTCTATCTGGCATAAAAGTTGCTGTTGGGGTTATTGACCAGTGACGTTTAGGGTATTCCATGTTTGTATAGTACAATCACATATGTTTTTTGCAGGAAGCAAATGGAATTGTGCTGAGAATGATCACCAAGTATTCTTTAGTCATTGAGATTGGCACTAAAGTCTGCTGTTGTCCAGGATGGGTTGTAGCTTTTTATAAGTACCTTGGTTTGGATATTTCTAATTTGTAAATTTGAGGCACACTTTTGTGAAGTTGGGCATACAGAGGTACATAAAAGACAAAATCTTAGATTTCCAAGGAGATGAAAGGGAAAAGGAACAATTCTCTACTACAAGTAAGGGTGACAAACAGATTTGTTCCTGTGATATCACTTGATAATATATGGAAACACTAATCTGAAAAGATATATGCACCCTTTTGTTCATTGTGGCATTCTTTACAATAGGCAAGAAACAACCGAAGTGCCCAACTATGATTGAATGGATAAAGAAGATGTGGTACACACACACACACATACACACACACACACACACACACACACACACACACACACACAGTGGAATACTACTCAGTCATAACAAAAGATGAAATCCTGCCATTTGCACCAATATGTATTGGCGGTATTTTGAGGGTATTTTCCTATGTGAAATAAATCAGACGGGGAGAGTCAAATATTGTATGACTTCACTCATATGTGGAATACAACAAACTATAATAAACATAAAGAAAGAAATAGATTAGTAAATAAGTAAGTAAATAAAAACATAAATAAATGAACCAACCAAATCAAACAAACACAAACAGGTAGATACAGAGAAGAAAGTAGCGGTTATTAGAGGTGGGAGGCGGTAGGGAGATGGCAAAGTGGGTAAATGGGATTAACTTCATGTTGATGGAAACTAAATTTTTGGTGGTGAACACGTTGGAGGTATGCAGAGGAGAACTATAATGTTGTACACATGAAAAGAAGAAAAGAACTGTGGCCCTTTCATGAAGGAATCTGCCTGTAGGCTGGCTCACCCACTAAAAAAGAGAATAAAGAGAAAGAAAACACCTCCAGGTTACACCATGGGTGGGCACCGTATGTGAGACAGTAGTCGGAAAATAAAGAAATGTTTAAAGGATGATGACACAATATACGTGGGAAACAGTTCATGGGGTGACTTAAATATATTCCCCCAATCAACAGGTAGCGGCTGGGAGACCTGGAATGTGAATACTCTTCCATACGGTTTTAGTTCCCATAACAGGATTCTTCCACCATAGATAATTTATGGTTGAAGATAAAATCAGAGGTGAACAGATGCATGATCTATGAGGGAGCTTATACGGAAAATGGATAATGCAAACTAGAAGCTCTTACAACACTGGCACAGACCCAAGGAGTAAAAATGATAAGACATGTCCATACATTTCAAGAATGTTTCATCCCACTAAATCAGAATCTGGTAACATCTAAAATATTTAGAGAAACCACTCTGAATTTATTTTAATGATTAAGATCTGGTTGTCCTTGCCAGGGGCCGTGGGAAAAACGAGCATCTTAGAGTTCATGCAGTTAACAGGGAAATGCTGTGCACAGTCAGAAGTGCATCCTGTGAGGTGGGAAAACACTGGCCAGGATTAGAGTGAAAGGAGTATGATGTTGCAGCATGGGATATCAGGAGACAGGTTTATAATGAGAGGAAGAATTGCTCAGCAATGCCATTCTGACTATCTAACCATAAATGATCCCACTGAGCAAAAGATACAGGAGACCCAGGATGGATAGATGTTAACTTCATCAATCCTTATTTATGGGGAGATGCCTGAAAATGAAATAAGCTGCCATGTAGGTAGGAAGTCACATCACTGGAGGCATCCAAGCAGTTGGCAGATGGAATATTGTATCTTTGATTGGCAGCCTCTGTGAGTGAAATCTACCAGGGGCTTCTAAGGATCCCTTCCAGTATTTTTTTAAACATTTTTTTTTTATTGAGTTATAGTCATTTTACAATGTTGTGTCAAATTCCAGTCTAGAGCACAGTTTTTCAGTTATACATGAACATACATATATTCATTGTCACATTTTTTTTGCTGTGAGTTACCCCAAGATCTTGTATATATTTCCTTGTGCTATACAGCATAATCTTGTTTATCTATTCTGCATATGCCTGTCAGTGTCTACAACTTTTGAACTCCCAGTCAGTCCCTTCCCACCCCCTACGCCCTTGGTAACCACAAGTTTGTATTGTATGTCTATGTGTCTGTTTCTGTTTTGTATTTATATTTTTTTGTTTGTTTTTAGATTCTACACATAAGTGATCTCATATGGTATTTTCTTTCTCTTTGTGGCTTACTTCACTTAGAATGACATTCTCCGGGAACATCCATGTTGCTGCAAATGGCATTATGTTATCAGTTTTTATGGCTGATTAGTATTCTATTATATAAATATACCACATCTTCTTTATCTA